AAATCTTATAGACACACAACACAATTTGTTTCCCAGTTTCTGAATCACCCAGAAGATCAGAGCTGTCCAGCATTCTATTTTCGAAACCTGACTCAGCTGAGCAGTTATGAAGGAGACCATGTTCAAAATCTAAAATTTCCTTGTCTTGCCTTGTTTAGTTTCGATGATATTTTCCCTTCTACATAAAATAACTCTGGTTGGGGAATCCACTTACCGAACCCACTTCGCTGAACTATAGTTACTCAAGTCAGATGAAGCCAATGTTTATTACAGTCAAAGACCAGAACAAGCTAAAATCACTGAAGGCTTATCGAGTTAAAAATTCTAGAATAAAGTAATGAATAACAAATAAAACCTAATGTTAAAATCATAATCTGTCAGTCCAATCTGTCAGTTTCACATCAGCAAAACACAACATGGCTTAAATTATAATATAACACCAATCCTTAAATTGTGAAGGCCTTTGGTCATGAGATACTAAAATGCAGCAAAGTGATAATGCTAAAAGATTGGTTGCATTAATCGTATGAAATAGCTATAATGGATTAATCAGGAGGCTCCAATGAATTCCCCAGCACTGCTGTGTAGCAAATAAGTGTGTAACTAGCGCTGCTAGTTACTCACTTACAGTATTTGCATGACATATAGAGGTATAAATGATTAACATGACCTGGTTGTATAACATGTAGGCTAAAAATGTGGTTAGCCAAATTGTGATTCAATGAATCATGATTGTTGTTGTTGTTGTTGTTGTTATTTACTTTATTCATTAAACATGAAACTCAGTCAACTGAACATTCAAAAATGTATCACAAATACCATTGACCGGTGCTAATGGTTGATACGGGTTGCTGCCAGCATCCTAGGTATCAACCAAGTACCTTCTTAAGATGTATGATGTTCCAAGTAGCACAGTTTTTTGCAGTTCTGCTGGTATTATTGCAGGAAACTGCAATTTGTTGATGTATCTTATAAAATTCTTGGACATGGTACCAAGTGCCCCGATGACAATGGGTATCACTGTTACATATTTCATCCATAGCCGTGTAGTTTCGATGGCCAGGTTGTGTTATTTCATGATCTTTTCCAGTTCTTTTTCTTCACTCTGGCATCTCCTGGTACCGCGATGTCAATAAATTGTACGTTTTTGGTTTTCGACAACTGTGATATCTGATGTGTTGTATTCCAAGTGACGATCTGTCTGTATTCGAAAGTCCCACAAGATCTTCACCTTTCTTCATTTTCTATTTAACTTTTTCCACTTTATGTTCTCAGGCTTTTTGGATACAGGGAAAGTTGTATTTTTTATTATTATTTATTATTATTATTATTATTATTATTATTATTATTATTATTATTATTTGTCAACAAGTACAAAGAAACAAGTAACGGTATAGACATAGACATGGACACATGAAAAAAAAATTGGCACAAATAGAAGGAAATAAATAAGCAAATCATAGCCATAAACACATAAAATGAGTACATATAAATGTTACCACGTCCTCTGCTTTTGTGAAAAGATCTCAAACTAGAGTCTTTTAAATATGGTCTTTTAGACCTAAAGTCTTGCCTTCCCCAATTGGTCAAATTAGCACTTAAAAGGATTTGGAAAGCCATTATCTTTCATTATGAATATAATGACCCTTTTACTGTGTGAATGTCGAAGGAAACCATTTCTGTGAATGCTCTCATGGAACCTTATTTCTTTCATGCTCTCCAAGCATTCATGCTCAATCTGTCTACCGGTTACCCTTGTAGGTTATTTCAAAGTGCTATAGTTTTAAAAAGTTACTTGAGATTTAGTTAAGCATGCTATTATGAGAGCTTGATTTCTGCTAACATCTCTGCTTCACTGCCAGGGAAAATTTTATTGGTCCCAGGATTGGAGCATTGGGAGCTGTAAGCATGCTGTTGGAGCGATAATGTACCATTCAGATCAAAATCAATCATAGCATCTTCATCTCATTATGGATTTAATTTTCTTCTGCGTATTAAGCTTAAATGTCAGATGGCTGGGAACATAAACAAAGGAACCCTGGTCCCCCCTGTTTCGGGAGATCAGGAGCCAACAGTTCTTTGTGGGGTGGAAGTGAAAATCAGCAGGTGTGTGAAAGAGTAATAATCAAAGCAGAAAAGACACAACCTTCTTTTGGTTTCATTGATTTTTCCAGTAGATTTTGTTCAATCTTTGCAGCAAAGGAGTAGTACCTCTACGTACCTTTAGAAAAGAATTGAAGTTTTGTTATAGATAGATAGATAGATAGATAGATAGATAGATAGATAGATAGATAGATAGACAGACAGACAGACAGACAGACAGACAGACAGACAGACAGATAGAATTTTTTATTGGCCATGTGTGATTGGACACACAAGGAATTTGTCTTTGGTGCATATGCTCTCAAAGAGAAGATGCATTTGTCAAGAATCATAAGGTCCAACACTTAATGATAGTCAAAGAGTACAAATAAGCAATGAATCATACTAGGAAACAGTCAATATAAATTGTAAGGATACAGCAACAAGTTACAGTCATACAGTCATAAGTGGGAGGAGATGGGTGATAGGAACAATGAGAAGATTAATAGTAATAATGAAGACTTAGTGAATAGTTTGACAGTGTTGAGGGAATTATTTGTTTAGCAGAGTGATGGCATTCGGGAAAAAACTGTCCTTGTGTCTAGTTGTTCTGCTGTGCAGTGCTCTATAGTGTCGTTTTGAGGGTAGGAGTTGAAACAGTTTATGTCCAGGATGCGAGGGGTCTGTAAGTATTTTCACAGCCCTCTTTTTGACTCGTGCAGTATACAGGTCCTCAATGGAAGGCAGGTTGGTAGCAATTGTTTTTTCTGCAGTTCTAATTACCCTCTGAAGTCTGTGTCTGTCTTGTTGGGTCGCAGAACCAAACCAGACAGTTATGGAGGAGCAGATGATAGATGAGAATTGTCCTTCAGAAAGTCAAGGAAACATTTGCTGTTTTCCAAATCTATGATTCTACCATCTAAAGCTCTTTTTAAAAAGAGCTGGAAGTGACTGTGGGAGAAGAGAGGGAACAGCGTAGTGTTTGTCATTCATTAAATGTGCTGTGTCTGGGTTAGGACCTGCAATATTCAGATACGAGATTTTAGTGAAGACACTCTGGAGACTCTGGTGGCACTTTGGTCCCCGGGCTCATCAAATCCAGGACATTTATAGGTGGAATTAAACAATCATTATGTACATTAGCAGGTTTTTTGTGTTTTTTTTTGCAAGGTGGCTGGAAAATTAGATCTCATTTCACCGGGGAGAGGAACATCCTACCTCAGCAAGAGAAATGGTTTCCAAACAACATTGGTTCGTGTCGGTGTGGTGTGTTTTTCATATTCCGTTCTCATTCATGTATTTATTTCTAAACAGGGAGCAGTCATGGATACGGGATTCTGTAAGGTGGAAGGTCAATCAGCTATTAAGTTCCACTTCATTTCCCAAACACTGTTGCTCTTTATTAAGGACACTTTCTTTTGTTCTATTTTTTTTCCCGTCACCAGGGCACGTCATAAAACAACCCCACCACAGGCAGTGTGATTCTGTGTCTGTGGGAACCATTACTGTAGCTTCATCATCCCTGTATTTTTGTTTTTATTGATAAATCCGGAGAGAATCCACAAAGTGAAAAAGAGAATTAACTTTCCCCCTTACTCGCTATCGTTCTGCTATCGTTCTGCAGTCAAGCTCCAGTGTGTTTTGCATCTACATGTGTCTATCCATCTGTGCGTATATCAACATATACTGTACACCTCAAAGCATTTCATGACATATTTTGTGTTGGTTCTGCTGTCCCTGAAGCAATCACCTCTTTTGTTGTTGTTGTTGTTGTTGTTGTTGTTGTTGTTGTTGTTGTTGTTGTTGTTCATTTTCAATGAAATAATTTGATTCCTTGGTTCTACGTACTTGGAAGCGACGTTCTTGTCAGCTTTGGAAGCCATATTAGGCCAGAAGCTTCCATGCTGCCACCTTCTCATGTGTCGGAAAGTAGGAGGGGGGGATTAAGGAGAGGGGTTGTTAGTAGACATAATAGCATTCTTCCTGTCGGTCAAGGTCAGGGCGATCCAGCATCTGGAGAAGGAGTGGTCAGGGGGCTGGGTCAAGATGGGACAGATGTTGATTGGAGCATGTGATCGACTGAGGAGTGAGGGGATGGTTTGGGGTTTTTTTACTTACTGAGGGAAAACCGGAGCTTTTCGGATTTGGGTTTTCCCAGATGTGCCAGTTTGCCTATTCTAGTAAAGAGAACTTTGGAAAATGCTTGCTTCCGCATCTTTACTTGGAGTGGGTTTTTTTCTGGAATGCTGACAGTCCTTACATTTAGAAAAAAAAATCCAGAGCCAAATCCAGAATGAGCAGATCCTTAATTAGATTCTAAAGCTAGCCAACATGGCTTCCTATCTTGCAGTTGGAGGATTTTCTGTTCGACAAGAAAAAAAAAATAGGGCATGGACAAGGCACTGAAGAAACTCTTTCCTGAATTTTTCTACTGTAGTCATTAAAATAATCTCAGAGGTTCACCGCAGAGGTGGGTTTCAGCAGGTTCTGACCAGTTCTGGAGAACCGGAAGCGGAAATTTTGAGTAGTTCAGAGAAGCGGTAGTAAAAATTCTGACTGGCCCTGCCCATGTCTATTCTCTGCCTCCCAAGTCCCAGCTGATCAGGAGGAAATGGGGATTTTGCAGTAACCTTCCCCTGGATTGGGGAGGGAATGGAGATTTTACAGTATCCTTCCCCTGCCATGCCCACCAAGCCATGCCCACCAAGCCATGCCATACCCATCAAGCCACACCCACATAACCGGTAGTAAAAAAAAGTTTGAAACCCACCACTGGTTCACAGCCCCATAGTTCTTAGGACTGCACAAATTATCTCCATTTTTTCCCCACAATTGTAAATCAAATCTGGGTGTGTTAGTCTCTCAAGCAATTAACAGCAGATTTTTTTTTCCTGTTTCTCTCTTTTTTCCCCCCAAAGCATTCAAAAGACGTGGGAAGACCTCAGACTCCATTAAAAGAGACAAGTCTAGAGTCATGGACCCAACCACCGGTAAGAAAGAACATTTAATTTATGTTCGTTACGTTTTCCTGAAAACAAAGGAGAGGAAATTCAGAGGGTTCCACTTGAAAAAATGTGTGTTAATGGAATAAATCAACAGGAAAAATTTATGGAAATCATGTTTTGAAATATTTGAATAACGCCAACCTTTACTCTCTGAGCCTTAGAAGATGATTAAAAAAAACACCTCTCTCCTGAATGTTGTGCTCAAGAACACTTGATTGAGGACATTTCTCCTCATTCCCAAAAGAAAGAATTAAGAAATCTATTTATTTTAATGATTTTAATGATATTTCTTTGAGAAAGCATTAAGCAAACTGTCTTCCATAGCAATTTTTTTTTTCAGTTGCTTTGGGCTACAGCATTTCCACTCACTGAATATTCTCATAGGGACTGATAGTTGAGTAGACTATCTGTTATTTGGGTTTATCTTTCACCTACTACATGTCAACAGGAGATTATGCCATCAAAAATTCTTCCACGGTTATGAAGATCCTAGAAAATCTTATTGATGAAGGTTTCTTCAGAGAAGCAGGCATTCATTACAAAGTCGTCTTCTTCATTTACTCATGATGGCCAGGAGAGAGATGTTTTTGGGAGAGTTATAAAACACTTCTATCCATCCATCTGGTATGGTAGGGAGGGTAAAGAAAGGTATTACTGAGTAATGCTTCACCACAGAGATGGGGGGAAAAAAACCAAATGTTTAATTTCTTCCATAACTATGTCATCTCTGGATAAGCAGCATTAATACCTCCCCTTTAAATATAGATTGATGATGATGTTGAAGATAGATGATAGATAGATAGATAGATAGATAGATAGATAGATAGATAGATAGACGACAGATGGATGGATGGACTGACGGACAGATAGATAAATAAATAGATAAACAGATGACAGATATTTAGATAGATAGATAGATAGATAGATAGATAGATAGATAGATAGATAGATAGATATGATAGATGGATAGATAGATAGATAGATAGATAGATAGATAGATAGATAGATAGATAGATAGATAGATAGATAGATAGATAGATAGATAGATAGACAGGTGACAGGTGACAGATAGATGGATGGATGGATGGACAGATAGATAGATAAATAGACAGATGACAGATATTTAGATATTTAGATATTTAGATAGATAGATAGATAGATAGATAGATAGATAGATAGATAGATAGATATGATAGACAGGTGACAGATAGATGGATGGATGGATGGATGGATGGATGGATGGATGGATGGATGGACAGATAGATAAATAGACAGATGACAGATATTTAGATATTTAGATAGATATGATAGATAGATAGATAGATAGATAGATAGATAGATAGATAGATAGATAGATTTTTTTTCTGTTCTTCTCCAGCCATGCTGCTGGTTTTCCCTAACTACCTTCTAATCTTCCTTTACTGCTGTGATGCAATGAAGGTAATTAGTAAACAAATTTTCTTGAAGTTAAATTTGAGATCATATTTCTATTTGTTTCTTAAAGGATCATCCTAATTAGAATATTTTTTTTTTGTCCTAATGATAACTATAAATGCCACAAGTCTGATGCAACATGCTGAAGTTAGAAAAGTGACAAAGTAAGTTGAGCAGATGCACTGGGATGTCTTACTAAGGAGGCAGACCTAAGGTTTTCTTACAAGGAGAAAGGAAATGATGAGGCAAAGGAGTAAAGCAAGGCATGATTCTAGAAGGACAGCAATTTTGATAAGAACTGTTAAAATCTTCCCAGAATATCCAATGGTAGCTTTGTGGCTGGTAATGATGATTCATCGCAAATCTTCAGTTCCATCGATTTCACTTCACCCCATGGTCATGTTAATGAAACTTTCTTTTACATAGCTGTACAGCATCCAAAATGACTATTAGAACTGAGCTTTTCATTTCTCCAGCTCATTTCAGATGTCAACTTTACTTGTAGCCACCAAGAGTTTGTTGCCCTCGATCGGAATGAATTACGAAGCTCATAATTTGTGGATCAGTTCTCCAATTTGTGCCAAGGGTGCATTTTCACACCTTCATCAAGATATATCTGGGGTGTGGGGCCACAGTCAAACCACACGAGGATGGGTGTATGGCTGTGGTGCACAGTCGGTACAATGATGTACAAATTGCACTTGTGTAGGGCACTAGCTACCGTGTGAGAAACAGAAATGTACAAATTAAGTTAATGTCTGCAGACAGTTATGAGCAGTTCATTAACTTTGAGGATGGAATTCTATTTAAGTCTGCCCAATGACAGTTAAAGGTGAAGGCTTTCCAGAGGAGTATTGGTCCATCAGTTTTGACTCGCCAGGAAAGAAATTACCGCCATTCGCTTCGAGGGATGAACTGATGAATGACAACATTTGATGCACAACATTTAACTTGAAAATTGTATAATGTATTATAAGTGGATATTTCGGGATTGGCTGTGGGGCTTAAAATTGTTCTTTGCCTTGTAGAAAACTGCTCCATTTTTTAAAGTCATTGTTTATAGATGATCTTACCCAAAGAGGTGGAAAAATGAAACAAGAGTTGGGTTTATTTATAATACCTCTCTTATTTGTATGGACTTTGTAGGGTGTTTTGTTTTATTTTTGTCTCCTTCTCAGAGATTCTGGGAGGTGCACTTTAACATATTTGAAGGCAGGGCTGAAATGCTACAGGTTCAGGGCGGTTCGCCCAAACCGGTAGTGAAAATGCTACTAGTTCACCCGAACCAGTAGTAAAAAAATGCTTTAAAAAGTTAAAAAAAAAAAAGTTCCCACGATTGTGCGGCACAGCTGATCCTCGGAACTTTTTAAAAAACTTTTTTAAAGCATTTTTTTATTACCGGTTCGGGCAATAGGTAGTAAAAAAATGCTTTAAAAAAGTAAAAAAAAAAAGGTTCCTACAATCAGCTGTGACAATCAGCTGTGCCATGCAATCGTCGGAACTTTTTTTTTTTTTACTTTTTAAAGTATTTTTTACTACCCTTTGCCCAAACCGGTATTTTTGTGAAAAGTGTGATGGTTTGTTTTTGAGCTCTCTGTGACTCTGTGAGGTTCTTGCTTGTTGCATTGTGTGTCCGTCAGTTGTGTAGCTTTTGTGTTATTTTTGTGTAAAGTGTGTTAGTTGGTTTTCCCAGTACATGACCACGAAGCCATGCCCACCCAGTCACACACCCACCAAGCCACACCCACCAAGCCACGCCCACAGAACTGGTAGGGAAAAGTTTTGAATTTCACCATTGTCTGAAGGGCCACCTTGGAAAAGGTGGACCTACACTGATCCTGGGTAATTTGCTTTGCTGGTTTTTGTCCTGCCCTTTTTTCATGTCATTTGGAATCATTTTTGGTTAATTTTTGTAGGTTAGAGTTACTATCCTACTTAATGCTTGCATGAAGTTTCCTCTTCAACAGGCAGATTTCATTTATTCATATAGCCAGTTCCTAGAGGAAAAGTGGCAAAGGATATTTCCAGTAGACCAATGTGCTTGGTGCACATATTATACTAAGCCACCATGTACTGATTGCTTGTTTGTTACCAGTGGTGGGATTCAAATAATTTAACAACCGGTTCTCTGCCCTAATGATCGACTGGGTGGGTGTGGCCATGGTGGGTGTGACAGGCAGCACTTGGCCTCCTGCACCCTCCTGGGAGCAAAAACGGGTTGTGGGAGGGAACGTGCTGCCCCCTGCGCCTCATTTTGGGCCTAAGAGGCCTCCCAGAACTTACCTGGGAGCCAAAATGGGACCCGTGGAGATTCCTAGAATGGGCGGGACGAGAAGAGGCGAGAAAAAGAGCCTTGGTAGTACAGTGGTCTAAAGCACCCTGTTATTAAGACCAGCTGCCTGCAATTACTGCAGGTTCGAATCTCGCCAGGCTCAAGGTTGACTCAGCCTTCCATCCTTTCTAAGGTAGGTAAATTGAGGACCCAGTTTTTGGGGGCAATAAGCTGACTTTGTATAAATATACAAAAGGATGAAGGCTATTGCTTAGCATACTGTAAGCCGTCCTGAGTCTCCGGAGAAGGGCGGCATGTAAATCATTTTTAAAAAAAAGGGGGGGGGGGCAGGGCCAGTCAGCAATTTAACTACCGGATTTCCCCTAACCGGCTGAATCCCACCACTGTTTGTTACCATGTTGTTCATGAATCATGATTTATAACTTTTAATTTGCAAGAATTAGTCATGATAGCTTGTACAGGAAAATCATGGCTAAAATGAATTAGGCTGGTATGTTGTTCCAAAGATAAGGATAAAATGATTGAAGATCGTTTTAAAACAGTGTTTTTAAGGCTCTCCTTTTTTTTTTTCCTTAAAAGAATGTAATTCAGAACAAGCGGGATTGAAATTAAGATGTGTCGTTAAAATAGAGGAGATTCTTTAACGCCAGTCAAATTTCTCCATTCTCTCTGCTGTAATCAGATGAAATGGCAGCTTAAACATTTGCCGCCTTTGATGTGTGTTTCAGGTTAGCTGTAAAGGAATTTTAGTGTAACTCACAAAGGCGGTTATTGTTTGAAACTGAGAAAAAAAAATGCTGTGTGATTATCTTCCTTTTCTTTTCTTTTTTCTTTTTATGACCCATCAAAATTACAAAGTATTCACAAATTAAAGCTTTTCTTTTTTGTTGAAGAAGATCCCCCAGTCTCTCTTCCATATCACCATTTCCTGTGTCTATGCTACCTTTTGAGAAAGCGTCTCTTAGCTTTCTCTTGGTGATCACATTGGAACAAACATTTTTTTTTTTTTTTACAAATTACAAAATGAATGAGTTCTTTGCATTTACGGCCAAACTCACATCTCTTGCACTCATCCAAAATGTAGAAACAAGCCAAGATATGCCTACTTAATCTAATCAAGCCATAGCTAATTGTTCCAAACCAGGGGCGTCAAACTTAAGGTCTGGGGCCACCCTGGAAACAGCAAAGGACCTGTCCATGGTGCCTCTGCTAACAAAAATGGAGCTCAGAAGGGCAGCAAGCGGCCCTTTTGAGCTCC